CTTTGACTCATGAAATGGATCCAAATGAGCGTGAGGATTTTAAGAAGGAGGAGAGACACTCAGAGAAGACTAAAGATAACAGCGGGTTTGGCAGCAGTTTGTTGGGTGGGGGGTCATCACCAGCTCCTGTCTCGAAGGAGCAAACAAAGAATGAGCTCCAAGAAGTCCTTCTCGACAAAGAGGCTTTGAAAAGCAATGAAATTGTCGTCTTGGCCATGGGTGAAGAGGCCAGAAAGTTCGCCGGGTCTATGCCACATGCTGTGCGTGTTGGCTCGTTCGGTTATCCTATACCTGATGCCACACTGGCTGTTGTCGATCCTGAGACAAATTTGCTGTGCACACCGAATGTGATCGGAGAGATTTGGGTGGACTCGCCATCCCTTTCTGGAGGCTTCTGGGCACTGCCAAAACATACAGAAGCAATCTTTCATGCACGGCCCTACAAGTTCGAGGAGGGAAACCCAACTCCCGTGTTGGTGGAGCCGGAGTTCTTGCGGACTGGTCTACTGGGCTGTGTGATCGAAGGCAAGATATTTGTGCTGGGCCTCTATGAAGACCGTCTTCGTCAAAAGGTTGAATGGGTGGAACACGGACAGGAAATCGTTGAACATCGTTATTTCTTCGTTCAACATATGATCGTCAGTCTTTTGAAAAACGTACCTAAGGTACATGATTGTACGGCCTTCGATGTTTTTGTCAACGAAGAACACCTACCGATCGTGGTTCTAGAGTCATACGCGGCGTCCACGGCACCAGCAACCTCTGGTGGGCCTCCAAGGCAGTTGGACTCGGTTCTCCTTGAATCTCTAGCAGAAAGGTGCATGGAAGTCCTCTATCAAGAGCATCACTTGCGCGTCTACTGTGTGCTACTCACCGCGCCCAACACTCTACCTCGTGTCACTAAGAATGGCAGGCAAGAGATCGGTAACATGCTCTGTCGCAGAGACTTTGATTCTGGAACTTTACCCTGTGTTCACGTGAAGTTCGGTGTTGAACGGTCGGTTATGAATTTACCAGTTGGAGTTGACCCAGTCGGAGGAATCTGGTCTCCCCTAGCCCTGATGTCAAGACAAGAAATGCTTGCCATGCAAGAAAAGCAGTATTCTGGGGTAGACTACCGTGAAGTCGTCATGGATGATCGCACATCGACGCCACTGAGCAATTTTTCAACCATCGTGGATCTTCTTCATTGGCGTGTTTCTCGTCAGGCAGAAGAGCTAGCTTATTGCTCCATCGATGGCCGTGGAAAGGAAGGGAAGGGTATCACTTGGAAAAAGTTCGACTTGAAAGTTGCTGCCGTAGCAACCTATCTGAGAAATAAAGTCAAAGTTCGCCCAGGCGATCACTTGGTGCTTATGTATACCCACTCAGAAGAATACGTTTATGCAGTTCATGCTTGCTTCTGTCTAGGGGTGGTTGCCATTCCTCTTCCCCCTATTGACCAAAATCGGCTCTCGGAAGATGCTCCAGCTTTCCTACATGTTATCAATGATTTCAATGTGAAAGCCATCATTGTAAACAGCGATGTTGATCATGTGATGAGACAAAAGCTTGTTTCGCAGCATATCAAGCAGTCTGCACAGGTTCTTCGAATTGGTGTACCGGCAATCTACAACACCACAAAACCAACGAAACAGTCTCACGGCTGTCGGGAGCTCGGTTATGTTGTGAAAGATGCATGGTTACAGGGAAGTACACCGGCCATGGTGTGGACTTATTGGACGCCAGATCAGAGGAGGATATCGGTCCATATCGGCCACGACACTATCATGGGTATGTGCAAGGTACAAAAAGAGACGTGCCAGATGAGCAGTGCAAGACCAGTTCTAGGTAGCGTTCGCAGCACCCTAAGTCTTGGCTTCCTCCATACCTGTTTGATGGGTATATATGTTGGTAAGCAGAACCAATAAGCCTAAGATAAATGCCTTGCGGGTTAACCAAAGCTTCTAGGGGCACCGACATACCTCGTATCACCTGTCGACTTCGCAACAAACCCTATGACGCTTTTCGTCACTCTCTCACGCTATAAGATCAAAGACACGTATGCTACCAGTCAGATGTTGGATTACGCGATGACTGCAATGGCTGGGAAGGGGTTCCAACTTCAGGAACTGAAGAACTTGATGATATCTGCTGAAGGTCGACCACGTATCGATATATGTATGTACATTATGATTCATCGATCAAAACAGGCATGCTAACACAATCTTGCCTCTAGACCAGAAGGTGCGTCTGCACTTTGCTTCTGCAAGTCTCGACCGCACCGCAATCAACATTGTGTATTCTCATGTCCTCAACCCGATGGTTGTTACGAGATCATATATGTGCATCGAACCGATTGAATTATGGCTTGACCTTCGGGCTCTACGTCGGGGACTAGTGTGTCCCGTAGATCCTGATACAGACCCGACTGCCCTTGCTGTCCAAGACTCTGGAATGGTGCCGGTGAATACACAAATAGCTATTGTGAACCCGGAGACCTGTACTTTGTCACATGTGGGTGAATACGGCGAGATCTGGATACAGTCGGATGCTTGCGCCAAGGCATTCTACGGCTCTAAACAAGACTTTGACCACGAGCGTTTCAACGGGCGGATTGTCGACGGGGACCCTAGTGTGGCCTACGTACGTACCGGTGATCTAGGCTTCCTCCACACTGTCACGAGACCTATTGGCCCTGGAGGACAGCCCGTCGAAATGCAAGTACTATTTGTCCTTGGAGGGATCGGTGAGACCTTTGAGGTCAATGGTCTCAATCATTTCCCAATGGATATTGAAAACTCCGTTGAGAGATGTCACCGCAACATTGTGACTGGAGGCTGGTAAGTAAACAGTCATAGTATTTCAGTATGGCATGCATTTGCTAAATAATTGATATAGTGCTGTCTTCCAGGCAGGTGGATTGATAGTTGTTGTTGTTGAAGTTACAAGGAAGGCTTACTTAGCATCTCTCGTGCCTGTAATTGTTGACGCTATTCTCAACGAGCACCAAGTTGTTGCCGATATCGTGGCATTTGTTTCTCATGGAGACTTCCCTCGGTCCCGACTAGGCGAAAAACAAAGAGGCAAGGTCTTAGCATCTTGGGTCACACGGAAATTACGATCGATCGCCCAATTCAGTATCCGCGATATGGAGGGTCCAGAAAATCCTTTCTCGGAAGCCCCTCAGCATCGCGTCAGCCGAAGCTCAAAACCCGGGAGCGTGATGGGCAACAGCACCCGACGATCTACCGTGATTCCAGATAGTGACTCGGCTGTACCTCGCTCACCAGCTCCAGTGCTTATGGAGCAGCCCGAAGCACATGGTTCCTACCTTGCTACGCAAGAAAGAGAGGGACCGACGACTGATAGCCCGATCGCCATTCCCGAAACAATCCCCTCAATTCCACACATCGCGGAACCGACACGACCGACAACATCTTCAACTGCTGGAGGTCTTCCGGCAAAAGCTGAAGCTCCTGCAACAATTGGAAACCCTGACTTTGGATTCGACTTCGGTGATTTTGCTAACTCAACGGCCACAACAGCAATGGAAGCAAGTTCCCCCGCGATGGAAAATTTGCCTTACCGTAACCCTCCCAGGGGCGACTCTCTTGCCCATAAACAACAGCATGCTAGTGTTCCTGGTGGTTTCTCAACTAGCCAACCTGATTTCTACGATAGGCGGCCTGAAGCGCTGGAGGTCGGTGCTGGCGACTGGCCACAAGAAGCTCTTATGTACCAGTCAACGCTGGGAGTTGATGATACACATGGTCAGAGTGGTGTTCATAGTACACCCAGCAGTAACAATGACATGACAAGAAGGCGATATGACGGAAATAACTATGGGATCTGAAGGCGCGTGAACTTCCTCAGTCTACCGTGCAACAGTGGTCATGACATATAGATTGGGTAATTAGACGCAGACGCTTTGATCTAGTGTTGGCTGTCTTGTATCCCGCTTCTGGCATAGAGTACTTGGAGCCCTTCTTCTTTTCTTGTCATCTATGTCCCCTAAACACATCATCGTTCTTATGACTTTACAAAACCCATTGCCTCTTTAACCCATTCATTCCCCTGTGCGCATCTATCCTCTCGCTATTGTCTTTGATCAAATGATTTCTCTACTTTATTCGCACTATGAACGGCATTCCACGTTTTGTACATACATACCCCATGAATGAATATGCTAGGTGCCTTTAGCTATCAACTGGCAATGACATGATTTGTTTATCAACTAGCACCAGCTGCTCGAACACATTTACCGTGGTGGATGGTTCTCGAAGTGACTCGGAAGAAGGCATGCTACTAGCAAGTAGTCAGCGTTAACTCCGTGGTGGATCCTTAATCATAAGGATGACACGGGGCCGAGGTAATTCAATTGCCAAGATTCATAGGGCTTTGCGTTCCCACCTTCGACGCCTGAAGATAGTATTATATAACGTAAGTTGGGTGGTTCTTTTACAGTATTGTGTAAAGTCGGTGCTTTCAAAAAGGAGATTACACAATACAAAGGGTTTAAAACAACAGCAATTTCTATGGATAATCAACTATGATGCGAAGTAGGTACCGGAACTGGATTCAGTCTATGGCCGCTTAGTCACTGAAGATGAGCAAAGTCCAATTTATACACAGTATACAGCTTTCTATATGCAACCTGATTTAATTATGGTCTCAAATTCGCCACGTGAGGTTAATGGCGCCACTAAGAGTCTAAAACGGTCACGGGCTGGGCTACTAGTCTTTCCACCCTTGATACCTACCTTAACCAAGAAATCAACCACAAAGGATAACCCACTACGGAGTATTTTGGAAGCGATTCGGATCCTGGGCAATCAAGGTTGCAGGGTCTAGAGATTAAGGTAGACCCACTCCGATTCTTAAACCGAGAACTAGTCATTTTACTTTTTGCATTTATCTTAAGCGAGGTGAGCGATCGCGGGTTTCTATCTCCTACTTCACTAACCACTCCGATATTTTCTATCTAGCGACAAAAAATATACCTACTAATCTAGTCCAATATGGATCCTCATCCGCCTTTCGGCCACGCGTTGCGGACATCGTGTGATAAGTGTAGGGCTGCAAAGGTAAGTTACTTGGGTATTCCGCGGGTATCCGATGATTGACCTGCTCTTCAATAGGTGAGATGCCAGAGGGAAGGCCAGAGCTGTGCTCGGTGTCTACAACGAGGCGATGATTGTGTCACAACTTTCCATCCCCGAAAGACGTCAAAACCAGACAGGTAAGTAAGCATGGCCGAAATAGTGTGCAGAGACATCTAAATTTGAATCACGTCTTTGATTTACCGTCATTTAGGCGAGGAAAGATCCTAGATATGGAAAGCCGGATTGAGCGTATGGAGTCGATCTTGGCCGCGTCAGGCCTCGCAAGTGAGGCTGTCACTCCTGCCACTACTGGTACATCAACTGATCTGGATGACCAACTCTCAATGCTATTACTTCATGATGAGGGTTCCTCTACTTTTTTTGGTAAATATGGATCTTCTTATAATATATAGAAACTGTGCTGACGACCTACACGCTTCAGGCTCAGCTTCGAGTCTCTCTCTTTTCTCTCCTGCTGGATTACAGTGGATATCCAGTAGAACTAATTCCTCAGACCTATCGGATCTCATCCTGAGGCGAATACAAGCATGCCCTCCTTTTCATGAATCACTCCGCGTATGGCAGGGCCTAGACTATCGAGGACAAGTGCCAATTCCACCTAAGCATCTTGCTGATTCATTTGTCGCATGTAAGATTATTCCCACACGTATCAGTACACCTTATCTGATAAGCTTTCAGATTTTTTTGACGCCCTTAATGATGTTATACCTTTGTATCGAAGGGATAAGTTCGAAGTTCTGTACGAACAGCAGTATACTTCTTGCCCCCCCAAGAGCACATCTTGGTATGCCTCGCTCAATGTAGTACTCGCGCTTGGCTGCCTGCTATCGCACGAGGAGAATATGAGTGCGAGTGCTGGAAGCTCAATGCTAGCGCCCACTACTGCAGTAGACTACCTACGGAATTGCTGGAATGTTTTCGGTGAGTTATCTCTCAGCTGCAGGGATCTTATGGCGGTTCAAGCGTTGGTGGGAATGGTAAGGCCCGCTTCTGTTGATCTCGACTTCGGCTTAGGACTAACCAGTATATTCTCAGGCCTTTACCACAGAAATTCTTCTTGACAAAGAAGCCACATACATTGCTTTAGGAGCTGCAGTACGGGTTGCTACCTCACTTGGCTTGCAGCAACAGTTGAAGGACCCTCGCCTTTCACCACCGGAGGTCTCTGAGCGATATATTATCTTCTGGTGCATGTACTCTCTCGACAAAAGCCTCAGCCTTAGGTTAGGAAGGCCACCAGCCATTGATGATAGAGATATAGAAATCGATGTTCCGGACGAGCGGCAGTTGGCCGTTACAAACCCCAGGACTGCTGTCTTGCTCTTGGCGCACATAAACCTTAGCAGAATTGCTAGTGAGGTTTATTCGGAACTATATAGCGCTCGCTCAAGGAGATACCCGGCTTTGAAAAGATTTCGAACTATATCTGAGCTGGATACGAAACTTCAGGAGTGGTGTCGATCTCTACCAGTAGACGTCCAACCAGGAAAGCCACTCGTTTGCTCTAAGGAAAACGTGCGTCATGCGATTACGTTACATCTCGAATATTTTAACTGTCTAGCAACCCTACATCGTTGCTGGGCCTTCCAAGATCAGCTGACAGAATATGACGAACTGCGCCATGATATGGCTCGCCAAGATTGTGGTGACATCGGAGATCGTGTCTATACCGGGCATATGATATGCTTGGATTCAGCTCGAAATGTCGCGCGTCTTTTGATTGCAATCACCCAGTATGGCTTTCCCAAGAGGACCATGCTAGTTGGGTAAGAGTCTCCTTCGCCAAGATGTGTACTATAAATCAACATGTCTGACCGGTCCTAGTCTCACGCTGTATCATTCACTCTCAGCGTTCATTATTCTTTTCGCCAATGTTATTCAGAATCCTGGCGATTCATATATCACTGAAGACGTTCAGCTTCTGGGAGTCATCCTCGAATCCCTGTTCCCCAGTCTTCAAGCCAGTGGAACGTTTCTGCCCAATTTAGTCTATGAGATATTTAGCAAAATGAGGTCAATGGCAGTGGAGTATGTGGAAAAGGTGCATGTTGAATTGAAAAACGTATCGAAGCGGCCACGTCGAGATTCTGATGAGGCGGTCATGCATCTCCCCCATCGCCGTGCAGCAAATAACCATGTCCAGCCGCGCAACAAGGGTGCTATCTCCACGGCTGATACACACGTACGTATACGCTTTGTTTGTCTGTACTGCATGAAATATAACATGCTAACTGGACTCTAGCGGACAACCGCAAGGTATAATGCGAGCTTGAATCTTACGGAACCTGCCAGCTTAACCGAAACGGAGTTACCGCACGAATTAACTTCTAAAGATAACGCATGGGAATCCTTGTATGACGATCTCGATGATCTACCAACAGATGAGATGCCGTCCGAGCAGCATCCTTATCATGAGAACTATAACATGGGATCCTTTGCTGAGTCGTTACCCGGCTCTGTTCCTTTCATACCGTGGTCGTTGGATTTCGATTTAACTGATCTTTGGCAGTATGGGAAACAAGATTTATTTGAAGGACGCTCCAGGGAGTAGTGTTTCTGGTTGTGTAAGATAGACTATAATTGCTAGTACTATTACTATAGCTCACTTTACTTGGGCCTTGCTTTGGTTTTGTCCACAAAACAGGACATGCAGAACGATGCATCTCAACCCAGGGCAGTATTGATATCGAACTAATCCGAAATCAAAATGAAGTCTACCGTACAAACTTCAAACTTTAGCTGATGGGAGATGTCCAAGAGCCAAACCCGCATCTATTGAAAAATTCAATTAGTGTCTCGAAAGATGTGCATGGGACTGTGCAACATACCAATAGTGAGCTGCTGGCCCGTCGCAGACGTATTCTTCGCAAGACTGATGTATGCATCCGCACAGTCGTCCAGGTACGTCTAGTTAGGTTTTCTATATTAGCGATATCTCGGTTTGGGCCTGCAGCAAATCCAAGTTCATACCTCGTGTCTCAAAGTAGATCGCTCCTTTAGCGCATTGATTATGTTATCACCGAACTTCATGCCCTGGACTTTTACTCAGTATCACCCGCACTAAGGATGTTTAACAGTGTTAATTGGTGGACGTACCCATTCCGTCAGAAGTAGACCCGGCAAGACTGCATTGACGCGGATCTCTGGTCCAAATGTGAAGGCGAAATGCTTCATCAGGTGCAGGCCTGCTGCTTTGGTGACTGAGTATGCCATGCTGCTTCCGCTCGTTGTGATTCCCTGTAAGGGTCAGCCATAGAGCCACGAAGATCAGCTGAGGTGGGTTCTGAGCATACGGCAATAGAAGAAGTTGCGATGTAGACGCCGCCGTCGGGGTTTTTCGACATGATAGGCTGAGCGGTTTGCATAAGCTGCAGGTGGGACATTACGTTGGCTGCCCAGCACTAGACGTGCGGATAAGTACTGATTGACGGGGAATCCTCTTGCACCATGGGGGGATTACCTTGTTCCATTCATCGTGGGACATATCATAAATGTCTCCGGGGCGAGTAAAGCGCGTCCATCCAGCATTCGCAATGATGATATCTAAACCGCCTAGCTTTTCCACTGTTGTGTGAATAAGCTGGTCGTTCTCGGCGGCCACGAGCGTATCCTTAATTGGAATAGTTAATTCAGTATAGGAACACGTAGCGTCATGCGATCGAGTAATTCTCTCTGGAAGACATTCATACAGCTTGAGCGATGTGGCACTTCACCGAGTACTCTTTCTCAAGTTTGTCGGCCAATTGCTGCGCAGCCTCTGCGTTGGAGTGGTAGTTGATAAGCACGTTGGCACCTTCAGCTGCAAACTTCTCGCATACCAGGGCGCCTAGGCCTCTAGAAGCCATTGTAGCTATTATTAGCCAAAGGGGATTCCCAATGAGTGATAAGGAGCTCTCTCACCTGGAGCCGGCTGTCACCAGCACGTTTCTTCCCTTTAGCGAGTAAGGCATGTTTGTCGGCGACTGTTAAGATATAGTTTGCAGCAAGGTCGGGAAAGTGAAAGTCAATTTGGTTTAGAAATTAGATTTAATGTATCATCCTGGAAATCAATCTCTTGGGTGTGTCTTATGGATTAATCGTACGATGAGGGGAACTTTTTACCCCGCTTGCCCTGCATATGGTGGTAGTAGGTAAAGGTTATCGTGCCGAGGTTCGTTTGATTTGATATCAGCTATCTCACCAGCGTTCAAATAATAGGTGCTACACATAAACAAGAAAATGCCAAGCTGAGGGTTGTTCTGCAGACCCTTCCCTAATGCCAGACCGGATGATCTTTCTCTCTAACGACCATTGTTCTGCACCTTATTGCCCTGTCGATAGCAAAATTCCGCAGCCCGGGGGATCTCCATGTGATGAAAGTGTCAATTAAGGAGACCCACACATGATATGTCTCAGAGATTAGTACCTTTCATCTGCCTGTCTCCGGACCCTTAAGCAGGGAATCTTGCTTGTGAATGAAACAGTGCCATACTTTCCGAGCGACAGCCTCACCAAGGACCATACACCCACCACCATACGAGTGTTTGAGAATCCCCTCCTCCAACTAGACCATCCCTACCCTATACCAGTCATTCCAAATTTAGTCAAAGGTAACCGTACAATCACCCTAATTGATGCTCCACCCAGGAACACGTTTATGCCGCAATAAATCCAAAATGGTTTGGCGAGCATTGATTGAACCAGGACACTCACCAGTCTTCCTTGATTTTTTCATGCTGTCATCAATATGCTGCCACCGCCTGGTCCAGCGACTATAAACCCCCCCCCCCCTCTCTTTCGTTTCAACACTTCATACGGGTATGAAGACTCCAGCACACCATTATCATCAGTGAGCCACCTATTTTCCGCTGCGATATGACTCTTCCCAAGATAGCCTCCTGCATCCCGTCTCTCGAAGCATTGGAAGCCTCTGAATATCCTCAGGATTCTTGAACTGGGCTATCACTTGAACAATATACAATACGTAACCATGCGAGTAATACTGTCCCCTAAGGAAACTCGGTGTAGTCGTGCTTTTCCAGAATGATGTGATAATTGCTGGAACTCTAGAGAGCGCGCAGCGTGGATGGATCGGCTGTATCGTCCCCTGCTTTGATAGCATGAGTATGTTTTGATTTGCACGTTCTTTTGAAGTGGAAGACTCTGTGACTTTGTCGGTATATGGGATACGCTGGTCCCAGTAGTTGAGGATATATTCAAGTACAGCAAGTAGTCGTATGCCTCACATACCTCATCCTCAGGTGACATGAAACAGCAAACCTGTTGGGAGCCAGGCATCTCTACGCACTCGCCTGTATCAGAGAGAAGAGCTACCAAAGGATACCCACCAAAAGACAAGGCAAAGCCACGCTTCTGCTGAAGACAGCAAGCAACCCAAAGTCTATAGCATGGGCGCTGGGATCTCGTACATAGACAGGACCACGGATGTTGACTGTAATGAAAACAGAGCTCTCCAAGTGTAAAAATTCAACAACACCCAGGAGCATAGCGACTACACCCGGCGGTCTTGTTAGGACGAACAGCAGGTATGTTTGAAAGGGAAAAACGTAAAAAAAGATGGAGATGCGGGGAATTGAACCCCGGACCTTTCACATGCTAAGCGAACATTATACCACTAAACCACATCCCCAAGTTGATATTAGTACCTTTGGTATCTATAATTATGAAGAGTTTTCAAAACCATTGCAAACATTTTTTTCTGAACTAAGGTCAGATTTAACCGTATGTGGTAAGGTGGCATTCCTGGATCCACCTGGGCGATCCACCACCTCCAAAGCTATCCCCAAGTGACGTCCGCCATTGCCCTTTTGTGTTCGGTCTTTTGTCTGTTTGGAGATATAATATTATAGTTCATAGATGGTACAAGGGTACAGATTGTGCCCGTTTTGTAGAGTATATGTGCAAACTGTGAGTGCCCTCTCAGGTGTCCAGTCTATCTACTAGTACTGAGTAGACCAGGCAGGAGGTTTAATTGGTTTCTTTTTTGCAAGTGATTTTGTATTTAACAACCAAGTGAGAAAAGTTTGACATCTTAATTATATTATCTTTCATACCATGCCATTCTGTACATACAAAAATGCTTTTTAAGACCTTGCTTTTCTGCTACTACAGTCTTAAAAAAAGAAAAAAGAAAAAAAAAAAAAACCTGGACATGCACCCCCAACCATGAATTAGGAACAGATAGAGAGAAAATATCGAAAAGGGTAGTAAGAAAGCAAGCTCAAGATTTACTGGCTCTCGGCTTGTCTCGTCAGACCATCAATATCGACCTGGGGCTTGGCACTACCGTTAGCAGCCTTAGCCAGGTTGGTAGCAAGGTCACTGGAGCCGGTGAGGGTCTCTAGGGCTTGCAGGTCCTCGTCAGTGAGGGTGTTGGAGCGGATAGGGCGGAAGGGAGCAGGGGAGCCGGCACGACTAGTCAGAAACTGTTCGACGGAAGTTAGTACGATATATAATGATGATTGCAGCTTAAAGAAGTTAGAGAGCTTACAGAGCTAGCGGCACTGAGCAAAGCGATCAAACTGGCCTGGACAACGTCCTGGTGGATACCAACACCCCAGACCTGCTCCTTGCTACCAGCCGCAGTGCACTGGATGTACGTTGCGGCCTTCACCTCCCTACCCAAACCAATAGAGTGTTCTTTGTAGTCGACAACGTCGAGATCGATGCCGAGTGTCGACAAGGCGCCAGCCAAGGAGGAGATAGCACCGGGACCAACACCAGTAATAGCGTGCTGAACCCCATCGATCTCGATGACACCGGTGAAGCGCCGCTTGAGGTTCTTGGTGTTCAGAGCCTTGCCAGGCTCGGGAGGTGCCGGAGATGTTGAGCGGTCCGTGGTGATGTTGTAGTCGACCAGGTTGAAGCGAGGGTTGGACTTGAGGTGGTATGCCTCCTCGAAAAGACCAACGATCTCGCTTGCCCGCAGCTCCCGGCTGACCTCTTCCGACTTCTTTTGGACGATCTTGCTGAACTCGACCTGCAAGGCGCGCGGGAGATCCAGCTCCAAGCTGCGCAAGATAACCCAAGCAGCACCACCCTTGCCACTCTGGGAGTTGACACGAATAACAGCCTCGTAAGTTCTGCCAATATCTTGAGGATCCAAGGGGAGATAAGGAATTTCCCATTGGACTTCCTCGCCTGACGCTGCCGTGGCATCATCACGAATCTTGAAGCCTTTCTTAATAGCATCCTGGTGACTACCACTGAAAGCGCAAACGACCAGTTGACCGCCGTAGGGCCACCGTTCGTTGACAGGGATCTTGTTGCTTTCTTCAACTACCTTGATAACAGCGTTGATATCGGAGAAGTCAACATTGGGGGTGATGCCCTGTGTGTAGAGGTTGAGAGCCAGAGTGACCAGATCAACGTTACCCGTTCTTTCACCGTTCCCGAACAGAGTGCCCTCCACACGCTGCGCACCGGCCATCTGAGCCAGCTCAGCGGCCGCAATGGCACAGCCACGGTCGTTATGCGGGTGAATGGAGACGACATACTTCTCTCGCTCCGACACATGACGGCAGAAGTACTCAATCTGGTCCGCAAAAACGT